CCCTAATTTTAAAATTTGGTTTTCTTGATAAACAAGTTTCACATTTTGACATGTTTTGATGAATTATGACCCTTGGCACTTGATTTTGACCAAAAAGTCAAAGTTTGACTTTTCAGTATACAATTGACTTTTGATCAGTTGACTGCAAACTTCATCTGTCAATCCAATGAATTTGAAATGTTTTGGGCCATGTAATTAAGTCAAGATGATGTAATTGAATCCTTGAAATCATTCTTTAACTCAATTGGTCATTTGCTAGGTTAAAAATCAGAAAATGCCCTTCCTCAATCAAAACCCTAATTTTAACCATTTTGCCCTTTTTGTGATTTGACCAAATTTCTTGAGGAATTGTGATCCAAACTTGACCAAATGACACATGTAAGTTTAAAATGTTGATGTGGATAAAAAATTATGAAGTTTGACTGTAAATTGGCCATGGTTGATTTTTCCCCCAATATAGCTGATTTTTAGGTCAACTGTCCAATTGATTGATAAAAAATGTGGTTCAAGGCTTGAAACTTGTCATGAGTAATCTTAGGGATCCATAATGATGTTTGAAAGTCATATGAAGCATTGATAGTCCAAAAATACTTGTGCAAACTCAAACCCTAATTTTGGGTTGTCAGTGCAAGATGAGATGTCTTGAGCTGACCAAACCCTAATCCAGTCTTGAGTCAAAGAGATCTTGTGAGAAAAGTCTTGATAAATGAGAGGGCAAATTTTGGGGTACAACATCCATCATCTCTCCAAATGGAATCTGTAAGCCCATTCTCTACATCATCAACTATCAGTGTTATTTCATGCGAGTGCAAATTTCTGGACACTCTAGTGTTCAATCATCTTCTACCTTCAAGCTACAAACGGCAACGTGCCATACTTGCTTTTCAGGTTTAAGAAGATTGAACAGAGGCAGCTGTTGTATCCCAAAAATTTCCCTCTCTTTTATCAAGACATTTTATCACAAGGATTTTCAAAAAGCTCAAATTTGTACAAGTACAAAACAGACAAAAAAGGTAAAGCAGAAAAATTGATTTTCTTGACAAAATTGAAGAAAAACAAGCTTGCTTCGATTCATACTAGTTTAGATTGGGCATCTAGGCTTCCTTCGAGCAAGTTTGATTCATCCTTCGATTGGGCATTTGGGCCTCCTTTGATGTAAGCTTTGATTTACATCCTTCAATTAAGAATTTGCCTTCTTCGAGCGAGCTTTGGTCCTCACGCTTCGATTGAACATTTGGGCCTCCTTCGATGCAAGCTTTGATTTACATCCTTCGACTAAGAATCTGGATTCTTTGATCAAGCTTTGGTCCATAAGTTTCATTTGGGCATTTGACCTCCTACATGTTTGCTTTGATGCACTAAAATAGCTCCTGCATGTAAGCTTCATTTGGACAATGGCTCCTGCCTGCAAGCTTCGATTGCACTATTGGCCTCTCACCTGTTTGACTTGGATTCATAAGTTTTGGATTAGATGAATGACTATCTTCCTGTGACTTTCAAATTCATCTTCATGTTTGCTTTGAATGCGCCTTCATATCACCTTCAAATCCATATGCAAACCCTTCAATACGCCATAGTGCTGCATTATGACACACAACTTGGTGGCCCATTCGAAGGACTTGCCATAGTTGGGGAATAATTGTTTTTTCTTACTTTGGAGTCTGGTCGAAGGTTTGAGCCTAAGTGATCAAAAGCAAGAGGACTCAAAATGACATATTCAGCTGAAGAGGGACATTCGAAGAACACACAATTGGTCCATTCGAAGGACACATAACTGGTGGGAACGAATGATGTTCTAGTCTGGTCGAAAGGTGTAGAAAGATGGAGGATTCGACTCAAAAGATCAAGTTGAACATTAGACCCATAGGCTAGGCTACGTGTTTCCCCTTTTCAGGCCTCAAACCTATGACTCACTCTATATTTAATTGTTTATGCAAGTTAAAATAGGCTTTTACCCATTTGCTGTCCAAGACCACTTGCCCTTAATAGTATAATACTACTTTTTAGAAAAAAAATTTCTCGAGTCTTGCGCCTATTTTCCTTCTGAGGGAAGCATTCCATCTGAACCATTCATCTTGCTATCATGACACAAGTGGATGCTTACTTTCCAACTGAGCCTTTATTTTATTATTTTTACTCCCAAATATTTCAAAAATTTTCCTCTATAAATAGAGAGTTCTTTTGCACATAAAAAAAAAAAGAAAAAAAGAAAAAGAGGGGTACGTATCTTCAAAATTCTTACACACCATAAAATTCTCAAACACTTAAACACTTTTGAAAATCCAAACCCAGAATCCAAATACTTGTCCCTTTCAAATCTGAAAAAAATCCTTACATCTTACTATCCTTCGAATCCAACAAAGAAGGACATTTCACTTGTTTTGCTCTTTCGAATCCAGTGTCAAAGGCCCGCCCTTGGTCTTTTCCTTCGAATCCAGAGGCATTCAAGGAAACCACTTCAAGGTCCAACACACGTTCCGGCCTCTAGATAGGTAAGTCATTCTTAACCTTTGACCCATCGTTTCCAGCATAACATGTAAATAAGTTTTCTTTTCGTTTCAAACATGTACATACTATTTTCTTCTTTTCGTTTCCACTCTTCTAATGTGTGTCATGGTTAACAATATTCTTGGCTTTTTCTCTTTGTACATTTAAACATGTTTTAAGAACTAATATAGCCTTAAGGTGATGTTGGCATGACCTTGGGCCATGTTGCTATTCAAACTCAAACGAAAGAAACAGGAGACAGAAAGTTAGAAACGAAGCCTCTGGCTTCCATACTAACCTTCAGGCCAAACAAAAGGGACAACATGCTGGCCTCCAGGCCCCAAACGAAAGGCATAACATGCTGGCCTCCAGGCCCCAATCGAAAGTCATGCCTTCACCCCTTTTCAGGCCAGATCGAAGAGATCCAGAAAGTGCAAAATCGAAGGATTTGCTGCCCTAAATCGAAATATCCATTTTTCTTGTTTTTACCTTATTTTTGCCTTTATATTTTCATGCAATTCAATATGGTTGTAATAGTGTAGGATTTTATCTTTCTGCACTTTTGACTTTATATAAAATGTTAGTAATTAGGGTGTGTGGCAAGATAAAATCAATAAGTAGACCACCCTGATAAAAAGACAAAAATGCATGCAATCAAACACACTTTACACACATGTACCTCTAGGGTTAACTCCACTTGTTGCCTTATGAAAATAGTCATGTTATGCATGTGAGACGTCTTAGAATAAACAATCAAAAATACGAGATCATAGTTGTTGTACCCTAAAATTTGCCCTCTCATTTCACTTAACACATGCCCATTGAGGTCTCCAACTTGTCCTAAGATGACCAAGAATTGACCAGACAAATTCTCCTCCTAAGACAATAAGCCTCAAACTAGGGTTTCCCTCCTGAGAAAGATGTGTGAGTCCAAAGGATCTCAAATATTCTCCATTGTCCTAATATGTCCTCAAGATCATCCGTGTCAAATTTCATGCATTGCACAACAAGTTTTCCCAGTCAACTGCTTAAATGCCTAGAAATCAACTTATACTAGGTCAAAAGTCAATTGTGGCCCAAGGGTTGACTTTTGGTCAACATCAACATTTTGAAGTAATATCCATCATTTGATCAAGGGTTGATCAGGATTCCTCAAGAAATGCTCCTAACTCATCAGAAGTCAAAAATGGCAAATTAGGGTTTTTATAGGAAAAGTCAACCAAACTTTGACCAAGCATAACTTTTTCATACTTTATCAGAAATTTTCCAACCAAGGCTCATTTTGAAGAGAATCAAATTCCCTACAAATTCTATTCATCCCTCAAGTCCAAGAAATGCCTCAATCAAAATATACAAGTTCATACATTATAGGTCCTTTCAAAAAGTCAACAAAAATACCTTTTGGGTCAAAGCTCCTTACATGAACATGGAAGATCCAATTGAGATGAAACCAAAAGGGTTGCTTAGAGGACATCCTAAGCTCTTTAAAAAGTCCAAGAACACCCTCTTAGGGTTAAAAATGAGAGAGATATGCATTGCTAAAGTTGACCAATTTTTAGAAATGTGCATGAAGCAAATAATGACCAAACTTGAATTTTTTCCAAATGGGTCCATGTTTTCATGCTTGAATCTTATTCCTAACATGGTCCACGACACCTGAGCTCACTCATACATTATTTCATTATTTTTATTATTTATTTTTATTTTTTATTCATTAAAATCAAAATAAATCAAATAAAATAGTGAAATAATAAAATAAAATCCAAGATTTGTTTTTATGACCACATAATGAGTCTTGAATCAGCTGGAAAATCAAATATTTCGTGCAAGGGATGATTGGAACAAAAAGAGCATGATCTGGCCTATTTTAAAAACTAAAAATATCCACGACAAATCAAATCTTTTCTCCATAATTCTTCAAGATTGCATCTGTTTTTGTTAAACTAATTCATTCCATTATATATTCATGACAAAACCTGATCAGAAAAAGGAGGATTGGCCGTGTAGAACACTCATAAAAAACTCAAATTTTTGGACAAAAAGTGTTGATCGAATTTTGATTTAGAGGGAGATTCAAGGACTTTAAAGGTTTGAAATCCATTCCTGGGCATATTTGGAAGCTACCTGGACCATTCTCACGCCTCAACACTCCCAGAAATGCCCCATATAGAACCACTGTTTACTCACGTTTCTTGAATTTGATTTTGATAATTTACACATGATAAATGAATTTTAAGTATGCATTCATGTTTGTATGACCATTTAGAACATGTTTGCATGATTAATTGTGTGTTTTGATGCGTATTTGACTGAATGCCATTGTTAGAGTTTCAAGGTCCGTTTTAGGGTTTTTTATTTCAGGCAAAATTAGGACAAAAGAAGAGTACCACTGTACTCACGAGATCAAACCCAGTTGATCTATATACTTGGATCAAATTTATATTGCATGGTTGTGATTTTGAAGATATGCAGGTTTATAGCTACAACACTGTCCGTAGGTAAAAACCCCTTGCCTAAAAATTACTTACACTAGAAAATTCCGATTCAGAAGTACCACAAAGTTCAATTAGCTTAATCTTATCAACTTTAAGCTGCAAAGAACAAGCATAAACTATGTCAATATAATATACAAGCACATTATGATATGTGGGTGTGCTCATGCGCATTCTTGAGAATATAGAGGTCATTACAAATGTACCTTTTGTTTCTTTGCAGATAAATAAAAAGCAACAGCCATAAACACCGGACGAGTAAAATCAGCACTAGCACGGAGAGCAGCCGACAACGAAGCAAGAAACCTATCCTTATAACTGCAATCATTAAGAAATCATATCAGCAACACATTATAACCAATCAATATAGTACCTTTTTCTCAATAGCATTTCAACAAACACATAGCAGACATAACTATAAGCATAAAATCAATAACTTACAGCTTGAGACCGTCGCGAACATAAGGTATAATCCTCACACAACCAAATCGAATAGCCAATTCTCTCACATCAAGCTTCAACCTAAAACACCAAATTCATCAATTAAAACCGAAAAACATTAAAGATATAAAACAGAAAAGATGAATTAATAAAAATGAAACTGACTTGACACCAATGCCATTGTGAAGTGAATTATAAGATCTGATATAAGCTCTCTCAGACATTCCACTGAGTTTCACAGCCGAAGATTGATCAAAGAGAACACCGAGCCAGTCGCTGCAATCTCCATACAGATGATAGCTTTGGAAACTTCGCCCTACAACAAAACAGTTATAAAATAACAATCAAACGGTTATAAAATGTAACTAACTAAAATGCGGTTAGGAAAACGATCTTACGACGCTGATGATCGAGGAATCAAAGTGTACATTGCAGAGGCGACGAAGTTCAGCGGCTTTTTGAATGAGGAGTTCTGAATTGGAGAGTCCGAGTTTTTTTGCGATTTCTGAGATATCCGTTTTTCTTGTTTAGGTTTTTCTGAAATGAATAGGGGAAGGAGAATTGAGAAAGGGGTTTAGAGGATAGAGAAATCGGCGATAATGGAAGATTATGATGCGAGATTGGCATGTTAGTTTTTTAATGAATAGAGGTGTCAGTGGGGATTGAGCCTTAACCGTCTTCGCAGTTCAAGTGGAATGGATCGGAAACCACAGCTACGCCGTGATACATTGAATTTAATAAGGAAAAATATAAAAACTTAATATAATAAAATAATATACTATCAAAATTATTTTGATATTTTTGAAAAATTGATGAGAGACTTAATTTCAAGAACAACATAGATAATTTGAAAGCATAATAATGATTAAGAAAAAAAATCAAAAACTAATGATTAATAGTAGTTATTTGAGAATAATTCACCTGCGAAGAATTTTCAATTTATTTTCTAGACTTTGTCTTGTTCAAGCTATGAATCCAGGTGTGGTTGTGTTGATTGATTGTTGTTTTACTTGTGAAAATTGAAATCAAATTTGTAAAAACTTTGTAATCAAACAGAGTCGAAACAGAGACATGATTATTGAAACAGAATCGTAATAAGCGGCTTACGAGAGATAAAGAGTTTAGATCAGAATTTTGAGGTTATGCAAACGAAATCAGAACTGTGAAAACATGATAAGGAACCGTGAGAATGAAAGCATGATTGTTGTTGTTTGTTTTAATGAGATTTAGAAAGAACAGAGAGTGAGAGAGCGAGTTTTTGAGAACAAGGAGAGAGAAAGATGAAAAGAGAAACAAAGATGAGAAGGAATCGACGGTGAACAGAGCGTGGCAAGCAGAGGGAGGTATCGTGTGCTTTATTCTACATCTAATAATTAGGGTTTCCGATCCTTTAGGCCCATTCTTTATTTTTATGTAAATTTTGTTTTTTCTGTTTTTTATTCTCATTATTATTCTATTAGGGAATATCTTAAACTACTAAAATATACATTTCTGACGGGTCAACATCTTTTATATATATTTCTTAACCATCATTATATTATATTTGTTTGTTACTTATAACGATATTGCACAACCATGCAAACACATGGGTAGATAATCAATTTTATATATCTGTGTGAAGTGTACTAGACCATATACTCATATTTTTCAACATAATTTCTATGTATATCTTGACAACTACTACAACTTAATAAATTAAATTAAAATGTATGAGATAGTCATCATTTAAAGCTTTTTCTCTTAATTCCTATATATTTTTATATACATTTTTTAATCATAACTATATAATCTTTATTTAATATTTATATCGATTTTACGTGACCCGTGCGAACGCATGGGTCCTTTACTAGTAGATGTTGAAAAAAATAATAGTGTAACTGATCAATTCGGATCCATAACCGATTACCATCAGTTTCATAACTAGGCAATGAGTTTTGTGTAACAAATTATCGAAAATACGTAATCGGTTATCAAGTTTTGTGTAATTGGTTGCAAGAAATATGTAATCGGCTACGAGCTCGAAAAATATGTTTTCTTTAGTTACTCAGTTACATTGTTGTGTATTATTGTATAAATACTTCTTTTTGAATCATTAATGAAATAAAGTCACATTTTACCCTAATTTCTCTAATTCTCTCTCCGTTTTCACATTTGCACACTAGTGTTATCTTATGATTGTTTTGTCCCAATATTTAGTATCAAGAGCTTGGTTCTTTAATCAAACATTAAGTGTGCAAAATTGTTTTTCATCTCCAATAAACTTATTCCTACAAATTTCCTAATTCTCGATGCGAAGAATTATGATAAGTGTCGCAAACAGATGAAAGTGATGTTTGGTTATTAATATATTCTTAAAGTGGTCGAGAATAGTGTTAATCCAATTGTAGAAGGTGCAAAGGTTGCACAGAGGGCTGCACAAAAGGAAGAGAAGACGAAATTTTTTAAAACTTTGTATCTAATTCATCAATAGGTTGATGTTGATAACTTTGAGAAGGTTGATAATTGCACATCCTCAAATGAAGCTTGGAAATGCTAGAGAAAATTTATGCATGAGATGATAAACCAAAGGTGGTGAGGCTACAAACTCACAAGAGGCAGATGGAAGAGAATGAGACTATTAGAGAACTTATACAGGAATCACAAGACTGGTGAATCAATTGAAGGTTTGTGGAGAGACAATCGTTGAGCAGTATTTGGTTGGTAAAGTTTTAAGATTTTTAACATCAAGATTCAATAATGTAGTAATTGAGATTAAATATTCGAATGATCTTTCAATCATGAGCAGAGAAGAATTGCAAAGTTCTCTTCAGACTCGTGAGTAGAGAATTGAGGAAATGAATGTTGACAAGGAAAAGACTGAGATTGCTTTACAGGCCCGTATCATTGGAAAAGGCAAGAAGGTGAAGGTGAGGTGTTCCATGAATAGAGGTAGAAGAAACTATCAGAACAATGGTGGAAGAGATTCTTAAAATTCAACAATTCAACATTCGAAAAGGGTGAAAACAACTATAATAGAGGTGGTGTATCAAGCAATTACAAAGATTGTAACAATAGAAAAAGAGGAGGAAGAAAGATGATAAGAGCAATGTTAAATGCTACAATTGTCAACAGCTTGAAAATTTTGCTCGTGAATATAATGCCAACAATATTGATTCACAAGAAGTTGAAGCAAAGTTTGCAAGGCAAGAGAATGATGAGAGTACATTGTTGATGGTGATCACTAAAGCAGGAAATATCACATGATGTAGTGGTAACCGGTTACACGCTACTTGTAACCGATTATCAAAAGTGGAAGAAGCAAGTTGTAATCGGTTACGAGCCCATAGTAACCGGTTACCTTCAGTTGAAAATGTGATGGTGCCTATGCAAGAATATGTAGAATGTCGCGGTAAATAGTATATTGACTTTGGGTGCTCAACTCACAGGATGGGAAGGAATGATTGGTTTGTAAAAATCAATTAAGCCAAGAAAAATAACTTAAAATTCGTGGATGAAATCAATCTAGCAGCACAAGGGATTGATGATGTATCAATCAAGAAAAAGAATGGTGAGCATTCTTTGATTAAAGATGTGTTGTATATTCCTAGAATCAAGTATAATATTTTAAGCATTGGTCAACTACTTGAAAGGAATTATAAGATTCATATGGAAAACAAAGTGTTGAAAGTTTTTGATTCAAATGGTAGTTTGATCGTAAAGGTCCTTATGGATCAGAACAAAACTTTCAAGGTTGAACAGAAAGTAATAGAGCATAGGTTTCTTGTAACTGCAACTAGGAGGGGGAATGTATATGGAACTAGATGCTTGGGAAGTTTAATTTCAAAGATCTCATGCTATGCAGAAAAATAACTAGTTTACAGGGTTTCCATTGATCGATATGTTAACTGAAGCCCGTGAAGAGTGTGTGCAGGCCAAACAACTTAAAGGTGGATTTAGGAAAGATACATGATGTAAAACCAAGTAATGTAATCTTGAGGTGGTGTATTTGGATGTTCATGTACCGATGCAAGTGGACTTAATCAAAAGCAATAAGTACTTTGTCCCTTTCATTGATGATTATAGTAGAAATATATGGACTTATTTGATCAAAAAAATATGAGGTGCTTGAAGTCTTCAAGAAGTTCAAATCAATGGTAGAAAGACAAATTGATCACTAAATCAAAACTCTATAAATATATGGTATATGTGAATATGTCTCAAATTATTTTTGAAAATTTTGTGATCAAGAAGGCATAGTACATGAGGTAGTGTCACCTTATACGCCTCAACAAAATGGACTTTCCAAAAGAAAGAATCGATCAATTATGAACATCGTAAGAAGCATGTTTAAAGGGAAGCACTTGCCAAAATGATTGTGGGGATAAGTGGTGTCCAAAACCACATATTTTCTTAATAGGTGTCCAAAAAAGAAGATGAAAAATATTACACGTGAAGAATCACGATCCACATTTAAACCAAGTATAGGTCATTGAGATATTTGGTTCAGTTGTGTATAGAAGTGTTTTAAATCAGCTTAGAAAGAAGCTACACGATAAGGGAGATCAAGTGATATTTGTTGGGTGCCACTCAACATGTGGTTACAAACTTTATGATGTAGTTAAGAAGAAAAATGTAATCAATATGGACAATTTTTTATGAATCAAGGGACTGGCAACATATAATAAATGATTATCATCCAGTTGTAATCGATTACCACAATGTTGGAACTTTGAGGGCTCTAATAGTACCTTTGGGGATTGTGATGGTGGTAGTGATTTCTTTTTATTATTTTGCTTTCTCACCAACAAATGGATAATGGTTTCCTCTTCTGGAGTGTTTAAAGGGGCCAAGTATATTTGGCCATTTTTTATATCATTGAAGACCATATCCTCTCCTTCAGGATAGATGTGGAGATTTCTTCTTCAGAAGACGAATATGTGGTTATCATAGAGGTCTAATCAACATCGGATATGGTTACCATGATTATCCCTTATGAATTTCCTTCCCCTTATTTCTATTTCTATCTCCCATTTATTAAGGATATGGACGTGTTTTTTCCCTTTTCCCATCATGGAAGTTATAAGGGTCCTTAATGTTGTGCCCTTTTAGCTACCTCTTAATAGTCAGGGTTTTATCAAAATCTTTGAGATGATGTGTGAAGGTCTGAAGATTTCCCCTGCCGTGGGGATATTTTTCTTGTTTTATGCTACCCAGCCTTTAAAAGGTGGTTGAATGTCCTTAGGTG